TTTCCTGTTTCTTTTTAATGTCTGGCAATTTTTAATTCAGTGCCAGACTTTGTGACTTTTGTTTTCATTGCTGAGTGCTGGATTTTGTTGAAATCCTTTAAAGAATACTGAATTTTGTTCTCGTATATAGTTAAATTACATGTAGATCAGTTTAATCCTTTTTGCTTTTAAGCTGCTGAGGACTCTATCCAATGTCCTGTGTATTTTGAGGTCTCTCCACTCTGGCTGTTAGAAGTATCAACTATCTCCAGCTCTGTGTATACTCCGGAATTTTTTGGCCTACTATTTTCTGGTGGTTCTTTTTTTCCAACCTACACATGTGCAGAGTTTGTATCCAACGATTTGTATACTTCCTAGCAACTCTCTAGAGCTCACTGAGCAACTTCTTCTCTGGTATTCTGGCCTGCAAATTTAGGCCACCTTGGCCTCCCTAAACCCCAATCTCTGCCTTCTCAACTCAATAATACATCCAATTCTTTGAAGATCTCCCTCCCTGTACTGTTGCTTGGAAACTGCCTCTCAGGGCCCACAGTTCCCATTGCCTGTTGTCCAATGTCTGAAAACAGTTGTTTCAGATCCTCTGTCTGATTTTCCAGTTGTTTCTGGCAAGAGGACAATTCCCTCAGTTGGTGCTTCTTCACAGGTAAAAGAGGAAGTACCATTATTTTATTAAATTATACATATTCACTCCTTGGTAAAAACACAAAGCCCAAAATTAAATTCTAATTGAAAATAAGGGCTGAGCCCGTGGCGCACTTGGGAGAGTGCGGCGCTGGGAGCGCAGCAGCGCTCCCGCTGCGGGTTCGGATTCTATATAGGGATGACCGGTGCGCTCACAGCACTCACTGGCTGAGCGCGGTGCGGCCGGTCTCAAAAAGGACAAAAAAAAAAAAAAAAAAAAAGAAAATAAACTATGGGTGAAAGCTGTTTTGAACTGATATCCCTAAACAGAAGTGAAGATTTAATTCAAGGGAATTTCAATCTTTGCCAGTCTTGGAAAATTCAGATTAATCTTTCTACATAGAAAGAAATACCAAAGTAAGAAGGTGAATTTTAAAGGTATTTTTTTACCTTTGAATAGGCCTTTTTGCTTCCAAGAGTCTAAAGTTGCCTAGATAGCAAGAGATTCACTATAGTCCTCATAAGATTATTAGAAATTAAGACACAGGAAAATTAGCATCATTAGTCATGGAGAAATGACATTGCATCCCTGTACTTGCTAAAAACTGGAATAAAATATTTCTTGCCAGAGGGATCAGGCCGTTAGTTTTCTGCAGGTGGCTTTATTTTTAGATATGTTATTTTGGAACTCTGCTCTTATTTTAGTACCTCCCACAAGAGTTACTTTCCTCCTGATAATGCTAGAACACATACATGATATTCTAAGGTAGTTATCTGCAGAGGAACAATATAGTAGCAGCTCCACTGAGTAGGTAGTTGGCCCTATAACTGAAAAAATGGGGATTAATATATCATTTCCCTTCAAACCTTGTCTCCAAGAGTTTTTGCTCATTCTGGATTAAAATTTGGAACTGACACATTCTAAAGTTTCCTGGAAAAAAAAACCTAAAAATATATTAAAACTATTTAACCAAAAATTTAAGGATCACCTAGACACAAATGTTGCATTTAGTCTTTAAGAAATCAGAGGCTGTCTGATTAAGAAGCATAACAATAAATATCCAGCATAAAATCTAGGTCTTGCATATGGCACAGGAGAAACAGGAAGAACTTGGAGCTGCTTCCTCTCACAGCTGGATGAATCACTGGCAGCTGTTATTAGAAAGATAAATAAACCCACATCTGCTTAGAGTCCAAATGCTATATGAATCCCTTGTGATAGTAAATAAATTCTTGAAGAGGCCCAAGTTCTAAATCAAGAAAAAAATTAAGGCTATCTGAAGACTGTTTTGCATAGTTATCTCCATCTGCTATATCACAGAAACCAGCTCTAGCTGTATACACCATTGCTCAATACAATAGGTATCCAATAAGTACTTGTTGACTGATTAAGGGATTAAGAAAGGACTGGGAAAGATAGGTGCTGATGAAACAGTACAAACTTCACCTACACACTCACAGTTCCCAGTTATATAGAAACCAATGAAATAGTTTTTCTGAGCTAGTTCACATAAAATTGAGTCCACATTGGTTTTTGCCTATTAGTGCATTTATTCTGTAAAGGAAAGGATGCTTTTCTCAGTACACTAAGTACTTCTTTTACAATAGTGTAATAAAGATGGATGATCTCTAGAGTTACATGTAAAAGAAGTAGTGATTGAAGTAGAAATAGTAAAAATAGCACATTAGCAAGTCTGGGTTCTATTTCCAGCTTTGCTACTAACCCACTTTGCAATCTTTCTACAAGTTACAATTTCATTATTTATAAAATGGGTACAATAAAGCCTACCTTACCTATTTTTTAGGATAGTTGAAATGATCTGAGATACTGGGTAGAAGGAGTTTTAGAAAAAAGTTACAGTAGCTTATATAAAGTATCGATTAGAGCAGGGTGGGAGAGCTTATAAATTCAATGAAAGCAGGGAGAGTACCTGTTCACTTGCTATAACCTCAGTGCCGGGCACTGGTAAGTCTACCAGAAATACTTGTTGAATGAATGAGGAAATAGTTTAGGCTTTCCTCTTCTTTAGTTAGGATCACTATAGAAACTGTCTTAAAGTTATTCAATACTTATTTGGAAAAGCACATAATATGAAAGGGGAATAAGAACAGACCTGTGGAAACAGATGTGGAAAAAGGTTTTCATGTGGAGATTCTAAATCTGAAATTTTTGGAGCAATTTAATCTACTTTAATATTCTGAATGTAAGAATCTAGTGAGTGCCATTTTTTAAAAGAAGTTCACAATGGGGGTACTTTCAACCTTTGTCTCACCAAGATAAAGTCTCAATAAAGACATTTGCAATCAGTGTCTTTCTTAATATTTTCCTTGGAGTATAATCTTGAGATGCCAAACCAACAGTATTCAAATACAAGAATGACTTGCATTTTCCAGTGCACATGGCTCTTCTTTCAAGGATTTTAAGGTACTTTAAAGTTTTTTACTTCAGTAAACTTTATTCTACTTCCCCAAATCTATATTTCTAGAACCTGACCTGTATTTCCTGCTACTTAATGAAGCTTTTTAGCTGAGTCCCAAACAAATTTCAACTTTTCAAAAAAAACATATTGTATTACTCACAATAGCCAAAAGGTGAAAGCAACCATACAGTCCATCAGTTGGAGAATGGATAAACAAAATGTGGTGTACACATACAATGAAATATTATTTAGTCTTATAAAGGACGGAAATTCTTTTTTTTTTTTCCTTTTTGTCTTTTTTCGTGTCCGGCAACGGATTGCAACCCTCAGTGTCGCGCCCGTACCGGACCAGGACCGGCAACGGGATCACAGCCCTCGGTGTTGCGCCCGCACCTCGCTTAGCCAGTGAGCGGGAACCGGTCTGTATGTGGGATCTGAACCCTTGGCGGGAGCGCCGCCATGCTCCCAAGCAGCGCACTGTAGCAGTGCGCCACCGGGCCGGCCCAAGGATGGAAATTCTGACACATGCTACAACATGGATGACCCCTGAGGACATTATGCTAAGTGAAATAAGCAAATCACGAAAGAACAAATATTGTATATGATTCCACTATATATGAGGTACTTAGATTAATCAAATTCATAAGGAAAGTAGAATGGCAGTTGCCAGGCACTGTGGGTAGGAGGAAATGGGGAGTTAGTGTTTAATGAGGACAGAGTTTCACTTTGGGAAGATGAAAAAGTTCTGGTGGTGGTGATGTTTGCAGAACAATGTGAATGTAGTCAATGTCACAGAACTGTACACTTTAAAATGGCTAAAATGGTAAATGTACATATACTTTACCATAATGAAAAAAAACCATATTTTCCCCCCCAAAATCCATTGCCCCTCCAATCTTCTTACCCATTTGCTCAAGCCAGAAACCTGAAAATTATCACTGGTCTTCTCACTCATCTTACATGACAAATCTAGCCACCAAATCCTGTGGATTCTATCTCTGAAAGATCCATCTCTGTAGACACTGCTTTAGTTTTGGCTCTAATCTCTCACCTCAACTCCCTCAGGACTCCTGTGTTTCCTGCCTCCAGTCTAAGCCATTTCCACACTGCCTTTAAAATGATCTTTCTAGAACTCAAATATTGCCACGCCACTCTCCTATCTAAAAGTCTTCAAATAATACCCACAGAATAAAAACCAACTTCTTTTTTATGGCAAAAAAATGGTCTTTTAGGACCTCACTCTTTCATTCCTTTACCCGCTCATCTCCCCTAACCTCCTTCACAAACTCTAGTCACTCCGCTCTCCTCCGTTTCTTAAATATTCCAGGTTCTTTTATGCTTCAGCACATGCTCTACTTAGAATGCCCTTCTCTTTTTTATCCATGTGGATAATTCCTATTCTCCCTTCCCAACTTAGATCAAACAGCCAGTTCTCAGGAGAACCTTCTCTAATCTATTTCTCTCCCTTTCCCAACAACATCCCACCCCCCAATCAGGAGTTTCCTTCTTTGTATTCGCATTATTCCTTGTATTTACTGCATGCTATTTTAATATTTGCCAAGATCAAGGTCTCTGGAGCCAGATTACCTAGGTATAAATCTGGGCCCAGCATTTACTATGTAATGTTGCCAAGTTACTTAACTCCTCTGATCTTCATCATCTGCATTAGTTATAAAACGGGGATTTTATTATCTACCACAGAGAGCTGTTGTGAAGATTAAATGAGTTACTACTTGTAAGGTGCTCAGAGCTACACTTGCCTCTTGATAGGTATCACTAGTGATAGTGGTGGTGGTAGTAATATCCTTGACACAAGACATACAGCTCTTCAAAAGTATGGTATTCCAAAAGCCTTGAATAGCATGCATTCAAACGGTGTTTACAGGAACAAAAGAAAGACAGTAGTTTGAAAGAAAGAAAGGAAGGAAGGCAAAAAGAATAGAATTTGGGAAGACTTACCGCCATTTTTGCCCACAGTTCGAAAGCATCTCCAGAAAGCCCTCAAAAATGATGCCCTATTGTGGGGGGTTGCTTGGATAAAGCTGAATTCCCGAAAGAGAATGTGAGTTCCCTGGCATACACTGTTAAAACTGGAAAGAGAAAAATCAAGAAATCATCATTAGATGGAATCCAGAAGGCTGGAATCAGAATGAAAACTTGAGACCAGATAGAAACACTGCCAACATGGGAGAAAATCTCTCCCCAACTCCCCAACAAAACTCTGAGCTTTTTATTAGACCAAATCCTTCTGTGGGGAATTCTCTTCATATAACCATATTCCTCTGAAAACTCCTGGAGTCCAGTTCCTCTGAGTGCTTCCCACCTCCCACACGTACACACTGAGGAAGTTTAATCAATCACTAGAGCATCTCATATAGAGGGAAATCTTTGGTCTTTAACCATGAGATTGGCATTCATATCTTTTTGAAGAACACTTCTCCCTCTATCCCATTTGGAATTATGCTTCCTTAGAGATATTTTTTCTATACTATCCCCAACCTATACCAGCTGCTATAAGGATGACATAGTTTGTGGGGACATAACTGGATTGTCTGTTCCAGTTTGGGGGTGATATTATATACCTCCCTGACAATAACCCCAGAGACCAATCCCATGTGCCAAAGGACATGAAAGGTTCCAAACAGAACACTAAAAGCAAATAAGAACAAGGTATAAAGTGGCCCCAAAATGAGAGTATGAAGCAAAGTCCCAGGCCCCAAGTGAGTCATTGTTTAAGCTGGGCCAAGGAAGGGAAGAAATATACTCCATTTGCTTTTGGACTCTCCTGCCAAAGAAATAAAGGCTGCAGAGACTGGTGTAATCTAAAAATGGAAATTCCACCAAAGAATAGGCAATTACCCAGTAATCATCCCTACCAAGAGCAGACTTCAGGTCCCAGAAAACTTCTAAATTCCCTGACAAGTAAATCATGAGTCGAAAACATGTTAATCTTTGCAGAGAAGCAGACATTAAGCTGAACATGGCAAGCAATAGAGGGAACAGCGGTAATTCCAAATGTCAGTTTTCATTTGTTGACCATAAAGAGAAAAAATAAAAATACTGAATCTCTGAACAGGAAAAAATTTTAGGAGCTATCCATTTCCTTTCTCCCAGACCAACTTCGGGGCAAAGTGTGTAACCTGTCTAACATAGAGAATGTTATCATTTAGGATAAAATTAGCCTCGTCCTGTTAATATTAACAGTGCTGTATGAAAAAGCTAATTACATACTCTTCTTCTCTCATCGAAAGCTAGCACAGAAGTCACTTCTAAAACTCTATGTAGGGGCTGGCCAATTAGCTCAGTTGGTTAGAGTGTGGTGTTATAACACCAAGGTCACGGGTTCTAATTTCCAAACCAGTCAGCCACCAAAAAATAAAATAAAATAAAATAAAACAAAACACTATGGGGAAGTATCAGGACAACATCTGGCAAAGGATTAAGTTAGAAGAGAAGTTTTTAAAAAGCAATGAAAGTATTAATCTAACCATGCAGTTTATGGCACTGCTGTTGTCTTGAGCAAAGGAAAATGAAAAATACAGTAAATGAGCTGTTACAGGTAAATGGGGTAGGCTACATTTCCAGCATAGAAGTCTGAAATGATAACATTGTAGCCTAAACTTATGAAGCTATCCAGCAAAGAATAAGTCCCAAAGTGTGCTTCATACCTTAAGAGGAAAAAGCTGGTGTCTAGGTTATAGTCTAGGCTGTAAAGAACTAATAATAGTGAAATTATATCCTTAGTATAGCTTTTTAAGACATTTCAAATGTGACATTTTAAATAAAGTCTTTTCCTGATTCTATCTCCCAAGCACAAATCCCATCATATTTCACTTATAACTCTCTAATGGTACTCACAATTTGTTGTCTTATTTTAAAGTTGCTGGACTTCGTTCCCCTACTAGACTGCAAGTTCTATGGACTAAGCAATTAGGTTTGTCTCTACTATATTACCTAATACATAGATAGTCCATAAGTAGGGCTGGCCGGTTAGCTCAGCCAGTTAGAGAACAGTGTTATAACACCAAGGTCAAGGGTTCAGATCCCTGTACTGGCTAGCTGACGGAAAAAAGCACAAAAAAAAAGGAAAAAGAGGTACTCCATAAATGTTTGTGGTAGTTAATTTAGAAAGATGGGGAAAAACAGGTAAGATAAACCAAGGTAGAATGTAATTTTCCAGCTAGCCACATTGGAAATACTGAAAGTCTGAATTTTACAACTTTTTAAAAAATCTTGGGCCTTGAGGGTTCCGAAACATGGCAGCGGGAAGGGAGTGAACCGCCCGCGCCCCGTGCCAGCAGGATCCCAGAGGCCATCAGCAAGAAGAGGAACTCAGAAAGCCTGATGGTGAGTCAGAATCTCTGGTGTCCTTGCTTGCGCTGGGGGTAGCTGTTCCTACCCAGGTGGATTGCTCTGAAGGACTGCTGAGACCTTGAAGGGGACTCTCATAATACGTGCACTGAGGTTTGGAGTGCGTGCCATTTTGTGAAATTTACAAAATCCTCCCCGGGAATAAGCCGCCTGGAGCGGCCGCCACTAGGCGCCCGGCCACGGCAGCTGCTGCCCTCAGCGTCCGGCCAGGCTGCACAGCCCCGCCACCGGGACTTGGGGTCCAGTGACAGTGGTATCTGCCGGGGAGGGGGCTGTCGTCTCCCTGGCCCCGGGCGCCACTGGAACCGCGAGCCGAAGAGAGACTGAGCAGGCTGCAGTGCAAACAGGAGCCAGGAGGCCAGGGGCTGCGAGAGGCGGCCGGCGGCTCTGGCTGCAGAGGCTGCTGCGGGAGCGCAACGCGGGAGCTCAATGCAGGAGCTGAGACTCTCCAGAGGGGGCGGTGGGAAGGCCCCGCCATCTTCCCGGTAGTCAATTTTGGACTTGCCTGACACTAGTGTCCAACTGAGTAATCACTGAGGTAGCCATACCAAATTGGCAACCCCAACAAAATCTTAGTCAGGCAATAGTGTCAAACCTGTGGACTGTGAAACCCCCTGCCACAATGAATAAACATCAAAGAAAAGACTCCAGAAACATGAAAAATCAAGAAAGTACACCACCCAAAGATAATAAATCTCAAGCTCTAGATCCTATAGAACAAGAAGCCCTTGAAATGACTGACAAGGAATTTCGAGTGATAATTCTAAGGAAACTGAATGAGATACAAGAAAACTCAGCTAGACATCATGATGAAATGAGGAAAAGTATACAGGACCTGAAAGAGGAAATGTACAAGGAAATCAATGCCCTGAAAAAAAAAATGTAGCATAACTTGCGGAACTGAAGAAGCTATTCAGCAAATTAAAAAGCACAATGGAGAGTTTAACCAGCAGGCTTGTGGAAGTTGAAGAGAGAACCTCTGAACTTGAAGATGGGCTGTTAGAAATAACACAA